AGCTTGGAATTGACATACCAGAGGAACATTTTCAGAAGATGAAATTCCAGTTAACAGTGTAATACAATAATTATAAATTGAAGAGCTAATCACTTAAGACATTCATAAGACATGATGACTTGATTCATTATAGCAAAACAAAGAAACAAAGAATGTTAGTTACAGTCACCTGCAACACAAGTGAAGACAGACATTTAACTTATTTCTAGAAATTAAAGCCCATCAAATTCCAGCATTGATTCATTGGCAATGGTTAGCAGGCAAGATAACAAAGATTATGAAAAAATGCTGTTATCATAGATATAGCCACAGTCTTGAGGAATACACTAACAATGCCATTTCAGTTTGAACGCTGTATCACATAGTCTCTATGGAAGAAATGGATCATAACTGAAAATGGAAAGGTGAGGCTATTACCTTTGCAGAGTGTATTGCTATCTCTCTGAAAATGTCAACTTTATATACACACAGACTTGGTCAGAGTAGGAGATGCTAACAAATTTTTAGGTACAAAGGCAACTTTTTATTCCTGAACCTCAACAATGACTAATCTAAATATTAATTATTTAAATTGATACTATTAACAACAGAAACAATATCTATTTATAAATAATAAATTTAATAGTTGTAGTACTTTTATACAGAAATCATGAAACATCATTGAAAACCTATCAAAAACAACTCTAATAATTAATAGGTATTTTATTTTTATATCTAGAATGTATCATTTTCCAGGTCCAAGAGATGCTTCAACATTTAAAACCTGCCTGTTGCCACACTTTAAAATTTGAGTTTGGTACCTGGGTTGAAAAAGAGGACAGACTCCTGCTCGTTTTCCTTTGACATCTAAAAGTTCACACATGCACATAAAATAAATGAAAAAAAAATGTAGCTTACAAATTTTAAAATAAAAGACAATATATTATTTCCCTGTAAAGTAACATATATATTACCAGTTACTTTATAAGATATTTTGCTTCTTTAAGTGTACAGATTTTAATATGTTTATCCTATATTATATTTCTAATATCCACTTATAAGTGAGTATACACCATGTGTGTCTTTCTGCTTTCTTGGATACCTCACTCAAGATGATCCTTTCTAGTTCCCACCATTTGCTTGAAAATTTCATAATTTCCTTGTTTTTAATTGCTGAGTAGTATTCCATTGTATAAATGTACCACAATTTCTGCATCCATTCCTCTGTTGAGGGACATCTGGGTTGTTACCTACAACCCTTGCACAGATATAGCCCACAGCAGCTCAGTTTCCAAGTGGTTTCCATAGTAATGGGAACAGGGACTGTCTCTGACATGAACTCAGTGGCTGGCTCTTTGATCACCTCCCTCTGAGGGGGGAGCAGCCTCACCAAGCCACAGAGGAAGACAATGCATCCAGTCCTGATGAGACCTGATAGGCTAGGGTCAGATGGAAGGGGAAGAGGACCACCCCTATCAGTGGACTGGGGGAGGGTCATTGGAGTAGAAGAAGGAGGAAGGGGGAATTGGGAGGAGATGATTGAGGGGGATACAAAGTGAATACATTGTAATTAATAAAAAATAAATAAATTGAAAATATATATTTAATTTTCAAAATTTTCCTTAAAAGGGAAAAGAATAACAATGCAGGAAAAGATCTTGAAACTAGACCAAGTGGGAACTTAACCTATCCAAATGTGATTATTTATTATAAAATTATTTTAATTAACATCCTTTATTTAGTGGGAGTCATGATGACACTGAGAATGTGTGGTATGTACGGACTTGAAATATGTATATAGGCATAACTACAAACATTTATAGGTTAAAGCATTGCCTTCCCTCATATACATGTGTGTATACAGATTCATATATATTCTAATTAAGCCCTCACTAAAATGGAGAGAGTAGCATGAGGCAGAAAGCTACCAATACTCAGTGAGTCCACTTTCCGTACCACTCTCATATGCTTCTTTCATTGGGGTAATTTTTAAATGTCATATCAACCTAATTAGTTAGTACTTATTTTAAGTTTTTAGTGAATCATTTTTCACATAGGGTCAACTACTATTTTTACAGTTATGAACCAGATAAAAGACAATGTGTACTTGTACCAGAAATTCTTTTTTAACTTGGTAATTATTATCATTTATCTTTAAAAGATTCATACCACTATCCTGAGAAAGAAACCCAAGTCCTTTTAGGGACTTTACCTTTTAAAAATGAACTCACCAACCACCCAACCAACCAACGACACAAACAAACAAACAAACAAACAAATCAAACAAAACAACCCATGGAGCATATCTGTTTGTCCCCTTAACAAGTAAGTGCTGTACAATGTCTGCGTCCCTTTCAGGCTTAAAAGTGATTGGACCATTAGTTGGAATACATCCAAGTTATCCCGCCACCTCCAAATAGCAGCACAAGGGCTTGTTCTCGTTGAAGAGATTTTGTGCGACCTGCACTGCTTGCAGACACACCCCCAATTATATCTTACCTATTTAAACACACACACTTCACATCTGGAAGCTTCAGGCCAAGAAAGCCTAATGAGACTATATATAACTAGGCATAAGAGGAAGAAGAGGTGAAAGCAGGGTGGCACTCTCAGCTATGTGCTACATTGTGTTAAGAATATTGAAGAGACAGAGGATCCTGATGATGAAATGACAGAATGAGGCAGGAACAATGTATGCATTTATTCTGAGCCGAACAGGGACAAGGCCCTCTGGCCTATTATGTGTGTTCCGTGTCCACTCAGCGGACTCATCTGACCATCAAACTCCTTTGGGTATCTTGCCCAGAATAGATGCAGAATCAGGGTTTCAGTATAAAATACTGAGCAGTTCACTTACAAACACAGACATTTCACAATTGTGCCTCTCTGAGTTCCTAAAGAATTATTGTTGTTCCTTGTTGACGTAATAACTTGAGAGCTATATGTGAGACATGAGACAGGCAGGAAGAGAGAGACGTATGTGTTTAGTCTGTGTGTGTGAAAGAGAAAGAGAAAACGTGTAAGCTGTTGAGTAGTAATAGAGTAGAAGAGCAGCACAATTTTACCTAAAATCTAAATGATTACTCAGATGATATGAAAACCATAGGTTTAGAGCACATTTATCAATATAATTCAAACTACAATGTCACTGGTTTATTTGAAAATAAACTTAGATATTTACTATTTAACATTAAGTTCAGAGTGCAGAAAACGAAATACTAATAAAGCAGCTAGCACACACTGCTTAGTACCCAGGATCCATTAAATACTTCATGTGTAGTGTTCAATTGAGCTTTCACAGAAATCCTGTTTTTATTAGTGTGAAAATGGAGTATGGAGGTTGCCTTGCCCAGGTCACGCAATTATCTCAGCAGACTCAGAATTCATCTTCAGAGTCACTCTAGACCTGTGTCTTCAATCACCATGCTTTCTCAGATCCTCAGACAAAAGCTCAATATGCTGAACAAATGGTCAATAGATAATTTTATGTGACTAGTTCTGCAATCTTTTGTTTTAACAGAAAATCTTCCCAAGACATTATTTCCTCTGGAGTATGTGAAATGGCTATCAATTTTCTACTGGTTTTTAGGATCTTTATTTCTTTCTACCAGCTCAATTTAAGAAATGAATTAATACAATTTGTGATTAATGATTGACTCCAAAATATAGATACCTGAGTGGCTGGACTGAAGCATATGCAATTACAATGTTAATGACTACTGGTAGTTTTTCTAAGGTATATAGTCTAAGTAATATAGTTTACCTACACAAAATCCAGCTTACTATATAGTTTTTGTGTGTCATGACTTAAAAGGTTTTAATTTTTTATAGCAATTATATTAGAGAAGTAATTATTATTATATAATATTAATATAATAATATTAAGAATATTATTCCTTAAGGCTTTGGAATAAAGAAAAATATCAAATACCACTTGTGCTGTTTACTAAGCAAAATGGGTTTAGATTATTAAACCTCAGTATTGTCATCTGTAAAGCGGCCCAATATTCACTTTAAAAGACTGCATTTGGGGATTATATAACTTGTCCAATTATTTAACAAAATAAAAATCCCTCCACAACAGCTAAAATATCTATAATATTGAGATTAGAGCACTAATGATTATTAATTAACACTATATAAATATAATAGATAATTCATTCAATACACTTCCCTGAGAGTCAATACCACGTGCCAAATGCAAAATATCACTGGCTACTGTGATATTGTTTTTACACTTTACTTCACATATAAGCCTTCTGTGAGCTACAGCAGTAAATAGGAAACCATTAGGTAAACACAACTAAATAAGGGAAGATATCAAATACATCAGTATTTTGTTCTTCAAGTATTTAAATAGAGGTGTTCTAAAACTGATGATGATTCTTGGGTTTGTACATTAATTTTGTTAAGAGGATGAAACAGAAACTCCTTAACAAACTTGGCCTTGTTTCCTCTTTTCCTGGTGTGTACTCTGAAGTTATGGCCTGCCTTTTCTACTTCAGAGCACAGTGTTGCTGACATTGAAAACTCATTAATGAAACTCCATTCCCCAGGCCCAACAGCAATTTACATTTCATAAATGAAACCAACAGCCTGGAAAAGTGAGGGCCCTAAGTGAAAAGGCAGGTTCTGTGCTCAGTGGCTCTGCTTGGGGATTATTTGATTCTAAGTTTCTGAAATGCTCAAAATGAAGGGCTTCAGTGTCAAATGTTATTCAAATCAGATATTGTATTCTTATGCATCACTAATCAGTTTGAGGAAAAAAAAAAACATCGAAGAAGGTAAAAAAGTAACCAACCCCTCTGCTCTCTGGCATCCAAGTACTATACTCTCACAAACCACGTGTTTTTTGTTTGTTTGTTTGTTTGTTTTGTTTTTGTTGTTGTATTCTCTGAAGTTTCCAAGCTTAGCCCTGGAATACTGGATTTTACTTGATATTTTAGGGTTAGTTTAATTTCAGTGATCATACAAGTCCAACCTAGGAAGTATATTTTCATATAACTAAACACGTTTAGTGATTGACAGTAATGGCATCCATAAAATAAGCTTTTACGAATTAAGCTCTTAAATGGCAAAGGGGTCTAAAGAATAGATGCTCACATTAGCAAACCTCAACTTCATCTACTTGAGAGTCTGACTCTTGGTTCAGAGCCAGAGTCCACTTAGGCATTTTATTCCTGTCTCTCCAGGTAATTATTCATCTCACTGCGACAGGGTCTCCTCTTTCCACCACACCTCCAATTCCTGCAGAAACACTTCTAGGTGTAAACAGGATTCCTTAGGTCTTTCTTAAAGCCTTTCTGCTAGGTCACCTCTAGCTGTCTCTGCTCCCCACCAGCTGGAAGAAACATTCACTACCAGGCAACATACAACCTTAACACTTCTCAAACATTTAAAGTGGACAACAGAAATCAAGGCACAGAAATCAGCCTAACAGAGACAAGGCATAGAATCACATCTACCATCCCAGTACCAGAAGCCTAGACAATAGCGCAAAAACAAAATAATTGACAGCCAAGACAATATCTCTCCACCAGAACCCAGTAATCTGTTACAGCAGACCCCGAGAAATGCAATACAGAACATAAGACAGTGACTTACAGTACAGATTATAAATACATTAAAGACCTTGAAGATGGTATGAATGAATCCCTTAATGAAGTCTCTCAAAACATATATATTGGAATGAAATAATGAAAACAGTTCAAGACATATTTTTATTATGAAAGTTTTGGATTTATTCCGGACAAAATATTAGATTTGCCACCAAGAATCACCTCAAAGCAATTGCTTTTCTGTCATCCCTGTTGTGGTTGGTGTAGCATGATGAAGACAGACCCAGTGTGCCTGAAAGCCAGGCAACTCTAATTTTTTACTTCTGTGGCCTCTTTCTCAGCCTTCTCCTTGGCCTTTTCCTTCTCCTCCACCTTTTTCTCCTTCTCTAGGGTGGCCACAATTTCGGCTACCTGGGTGGTAGAAATCTGAACACCTTCTTTGTCCACCAAGTCCACGACCTTAACAAGGTCATCAATGTTGATATTCCCATCCTTATCTTTATCCAGGGCTGAGGTCAAACTGATGAGCTTGTGTTCTGGAAATTGCTTGATTTGCTTCATGGCTCTGATGAACTCGCTGACACTGACGACACTCTCCCCTGTCAGAGGAGAGATGTCTTCAGGACCCACCTTTCCATTCTGTTGACTAGTCTCCAGCTGTGCAATTAGCCCATCGATCTGCCTGATCATCTGGTGGACTCGCTTTGACAGCCTCTGGCTAGCTTTGGATTCTTCTACAGATTTCTCATCACCGGTCTTTGAAAGTTCCATCTTGATCTCCTGTAAGTCCTCACTGTAGTCGTGGACGCCCTCTTTCAGCAGCTCCAGCTCCTCCTTCTCCTTGGTCAGGGGCTTCTTCTGCTCCTTTAGCTTAGAGCAGGCATCACTGAGGATGTCAATCTCCTCCTTGGTTATATCTTCTCCCTTCAAACCTCCCAGCACAGGTGCCGTATCTTTCAATGTTTCTGAGCGCAGAACCACATCAGGCACCTCTGGCTGAAGCTCGGGCCCTGGCCTTCCAGGGACAATGGCTTCCGCTACTTCTGGCTGGATGTCCTTCGCAGCCCCGGCAGCCCTCTGTAGTTCTTCCATGTGTTCTTGCTGGATGGCGGCCTCTTCTTGGAGCGTGGCCTCCAGCCTTACCTTGTTGTCCACCTCTTCGCACTCTGCCTGCGCCACTTTTACCTGAGCTTCCTTTGCCACAATTTCTGGAAGCGTCTGCAAGGTGGACTTGAGCTGGTCAGCAGGTGAGAGGGTGTCTGGGAGGTACATGGCCCGGGACAGTATAAGCAAAGATGTCGGGATCTCTTGATGGAGGTGCAAATCCAGCCACTGTTTCAGCTGGCCCTTCAGACGCTCTTCTGTGACGCCGAGCGCTCGCATGCCTCGCGCGCGACACGCTGCCTGTAATTCCTTGACAGTCAGACTGTCCACCCCTTCCTCGGAAATCAGTTTATCATCAGCCTTTATGGACCTCAGGCGCATGATGAGCTGGAAACGCAGGAAGTTGTTGGTGCCAATAGACTGAAGCTCCAGCAGCTTGCACAGTGCCACCAGCTGAGGCCTCGTGAGGTTGTCCAGGGTCAGCTCGTCCTCAAATAATTTGGAAAAGCGCATGATTTCCTCATTGCTGGGTCTCTCTCCCGTCTCTCGGATCTTCTGGAAAAATGCAGAGAACTCTCTTGTGGCGTTCCCCTTGGCTGCCTTGTTCTTCAGAGCCATTTCCTCGATGGTGTCCTGGAGGAACTTGGCTAGCTCCAGCTTCAACCGAAGCTCCTTCTTCATCCTTTCTTCCTTGGTGGACCGGGTCTCGAATGTGGATGGCAGCATGTTGGGGAAGAGCTTCAGAACCACGGGCAGCAAGAATTCCATGAAGGGCACCACTATGAACACCAGGAAGGGCACCAGGCGGAAGAGGTCCGCACAAATGCGGAGAAACTGCCTGTGCTCGCGGCGGGTCAGGGTATGGCCGTCCAGGATGCGCCTCAGCGTGCGGGCAGCGATCTTGGTGTCCAGCCAGAGCAGGCGGAAGCCATGGTAGTAATGCTTCAGCTCGGCCACTACCTTCTGCACGAGGGACCTGTCCACCGCCTCCTCGGCCGCTGGGCTGTACACGGGGCCACCCTCTTCCAGCTTCTTATTCTTGTCCTTTAGGGACTTCAGGGCCTTCTCTATCACAGTGTGCTCTCCCAGGGGGCGTGACGAGTGCCAGGCGCGCACGGGGAGGTGGCGAGGTCCTGTAACAACCACCCTTGCGGAGGCAGGTGCCCAGGTTGGCCAAGCCGCGGTGGCCCGGCCCTCAGGCCTCCGACCCCCACCGCTGGGCGGCTCACCCTCGAAGCAGAGGTAGGACGCAGGGCTGGCCGGAGTCCGGCCGCGAAGCAGTACGTTCTCATGGCTTATCAGCCTCAGGGTCCCGGTACAGTGGAGACGGGCTGGATCCCTCCAACTCCTCCGCGGGAGGGCGGCGCGGGGCAGCCCGAGGCGAGCCAGCCCCAGGCCGTGCCAGCTCCTGGGCACGAAAGCCGCCATGCGCCCGCCGCCGCCTCCTCCGGAGCCCTCCGCTCCCGGGCCCGGACGGACGGACGGTTGGCGGCAGCGGTTGGCTCCGGCAGCGGGCGCTCAGCTCAGGGACTCGGCCTCCGCAGCGGCCATGTCCAGGCACAGACTTCCGGAGCCCAAGCCCTAAAATTAGAAATAGATCCCGCCCTCGCTTCCCCTCCGCACTGCACTCCTTCTCCTACCCCGCTCCCTCCGCTCAGCCACTTCCGCTGTCCATTCGAATTCCCCGTCGGGATGAGACTAAAGCATCCTCCCTTAGGGCAGCTTAGCTCTCCGGTGTGTGCTCTAGGGAGGGGGCGCAGGGGCTGTCTCTGACATGGACCCTGTTGCCTGCTGTTTGATCACTTCTCCCTCCCAGGCGGCCTTGCCTGGCCTCATTGGAAGAGGTCAGCCCTGATGGGACTTGAAAAGGCTTGAGTGTTGGGGGTGAGGGAGAGGGTTCCCCTTTTCTGGGGAGTAGGGGAGGGGGGGATATGGGAAAGAGGTAGGTTGGGTAGGACTGGGAGGAGCGGAGCTGAGGGAAGGGACTAAGATGTAAAATGAAAAAAGAACAGATAAAAAAACAAATAAATAAATGAGATTAGAAATAGAATCACTAAAGAAGTTTCAGACTGAGATACATAAAAATTTAGGAAATGAAACAAAAAAATCTAATAGGTAAATATCACCACAGAGAAATACCGGACATGAAAAAAAGAATCTTAGGCATTAAAGGCAAGGCAGGAAAAAAAAATCTGCATACCTCATATCTATATAAAACATTTAATTTTTAAAAACTCAGGCACAAAAACCCCCAGGAAATCTAGGAACACATTCAAGTACCAAATTTACTAGTAAGAATAGAGGAAGGAGGAGAAATCCAGTTCAAAGACATAGAAAATATTTTCAACAAAATCACAGAACGTTTTTTTTTTTTCAACCTAAAGATAGAGGTGCCTTATAAAAGTATAAGAACACGTAACGCCAAATAGACAGCACCAGGAAAAAAAAAATTATCCATAGCACATAGTAATCCAAACACTAAATATACAGAAAGAAGCAAGAATATTAAAAGCTTCAAGAGGGAAAAGACCAATGTAAAGGCAGACCTGTTCAAATAACACCCAGTTTCTCAGTGGAGACTCTAAAAGTTACAAAGGCATGACAGGATTCTCTACAACTCTAAGGTGTCAGCAAAATTATAAATCACAATTGTTGGAGAAAGAAAAGCTTTCCACAACAAAACCAAAAAAAAAAAAAAAGCAGTATCTATCTATCAAACCATCACTGCAGAGGGCATTAGAAGGAAAACTGCAATATGAAGAGTTTAATCATACCCAAGAAAATGCAAAGGATAAAAAAATCCCAGACTAAAAAAATCAAAAGGAAGGATGGATGAGCCACACCATAACTACAAAATAACAAGAATAAATAAGCCCTGTCTGTTGATATTCCTCAACATCAGTGGTCTCAATGAAAAGACACAACTAACAGAATGGATTAGAAAACAGGATCCAGCTTTCTGTTGCATCCAGAAAACACACCACATCATCCAGGAAAATTATCACCTCTAGGTAAAAGGACAGGGGAAGATTTCCAAGCAAATGAATCCAGGAAGCAAGCAAATGTTAATAGCTGAGTCAAAATAGAGTTCAAACCCAAGTGAATCAGAAGATATAGGAAGGACACTGCAGACCCATCAAAGGAAAAACAAAATCCACCTAGAGGATATTGCAGTTCTCAACATTTGTGTACCAAAAACAAGTTCATAAAAGAAAAACTGCTACAGCTGAAAATAGCATATTGGTCCTCACATGGCTCAGCTCAAAATGTCACTCTTGCCAACAGGCAAGTTATCCAAACAAAAACTAAACAGAGAAACGCTGGAGCTAAATGATGTTATCAGTCAGATGGACCTAATAGACCTTTACAGAACATTTCACTGAAACACAAAGGAATATACCTTCTTCTCAGCAGCTTATAGAACTTTCTTGAAACTAGTTCGCATAATTCATACGCAGAGCAAGTCTGAACAGATACTTGAAAATTGAAATAACACCCTGCATTCTATCTGACAAACATGAATTAAAGCTAGACATGAACAACACCAAAATCTAGAGAAAATTTATAAACTCATGGAAATGGAACAACTGACTACTCAATGAAAAATGAGTCAAAGTAGAAATTAAGAAGAAATATGTTTTTTTGGAATTGAATGAAAATAAAAACAGAATGTACTCAAAATTATGGGACACAATGAAGGTGATTCTTAGAAGGGAGTCATAGCACTAAGTGTCTGTATACAAAAATGTGGAGAGATCCCAATTAATGCCACATGTAAGACCTCTAAAACAAGAAGAAATAACACCCATGAGAAACAGATGGTAAGAAAAAGTATAAAAAAATAAAATAAAAATCAAACATAATAATACAAAGAAGCAATGAAACAAAGAGTCAAGAGTCGGTTCTTTAAAAAAAGCAGTAAAATGATAAATTCTTACTTTAAACTAAAAGGTAGAAAATGAGAATCCAAATAATAAAATTAGAGGTAAGAGGAGAACAACACACTACATAGAGAGGGCATTCAAAAGTCATAAGGACATACTTAAAATTTTCTGCACCAAACTGGGGCCTAAAAGAAATGCATATATTTCTTGATAGATATAACCGACAAAAGTTAAAAAAGATCTGAAATGCAATTTAAACAAACCTATAATCTTAGTGAAAGAATCACCCATTAAAATTTTTTAGATGCCTGTTTGTTTCCTGATGAGAGAAAGAAATCGTGTCAGTTTGAGTGGGTGTGGAAGTGAGGGAGGGCCTGGGAGGGGTTCAGGGAGTAGAAATCCTAACAAGAATACACTGTATATAATAAAAACTTATTTTCAATATTAAAAAGAAAAGCTATCACCCAACCAAAAACTGCTCAGGGCCATATAGATTCAGTGAAGAAGTCTATGAAAACTTTAAGGAATAATTAGTGCTAATATTCTTCAGATTATGCCACAAAATGGAAACAGAATGAAGATTATCAATTTTTTATGAAGTCACCATAACTCTGATACCTGAACCACACAATGATTCCACAAAGAGAGAAAATCATAGACCCATTTCCCTTATGAAGATAGATGAAAAAATGCTCAATAAAATACTTCCAAGCCAAATTTAGAACTAGGAGGAGACAAGGGAGTGGGCTAGAGAAGGGATGCAAAGTGAATAAATTGTAATTAATTAATTAATCACAGTTTTAAATTAATTAATAAAAAATATATATGTCAAAAACATCTTCTACCATGATCAAGTTGGTTCATCCCTGAGGTATAAGCATGTTTCACCATATGTAAAACTGTGGTATGTTGTCCACCACATAAAGAGGGTGAAAAACAGAAAAGCATGATCAATCCATTAGATGCAAAAAGGTTTTTGACAGAAGTCCAATGTCTCTTCATGATAAAAATCCCTGAGGCTCTTAGGCTACAAGGAACACACCTTACCATCATAAAAACAATTCTTGGCAAGGCCACAGCCAACATTAACCGAAACAACAACAACAATCAAAATTCAAAGCATTTATACTAAAATCAGAAAAATACTAGTGTCCACTTTCTCCATACCTATTCAGTCTATTCAATATAGTACTTGAAGTCTGAGCCAGCGCAATAAAACAACACAAGGTGATCAAGGGGATACAAATTGGAAAGAAAGAGATCAAATTTTTTTTATTTGTAGATAATGTGATTTTATAAAAATGCTTTTATAAACATCATCAGGAAACTTCTACACCAGATAAACACTTTCGGCAACATAGCAGCATAAAAAAAACAACACACAAAAATCAGTAGCCTCCCTAAACACATGTGACAAAAGGACTCAGAAAGAAATCAGGGAAGTGATAACTTTCAAAATATACTTTTTAAAAAAGGTTTTTAATTTTGGGAGGCAGAAGCAGGCAGATCTGTGGGAGGCTGAGGTTAACCTGTTCTGCATAGTGAGTTCCTAGATAGCCAGAGCTACAGAGTGAGACCCAGACTCAAAGTAAAAAACAAAACAACACAAAACAAAGAACACAAAAACCCCTAAAATTTAAGTAACTAAATGAATAATAACTAACAGAACTAATTAACTAAAATAGTTTGGGGCAACTCTAAACAAGTAGTTGAAAAACTCATACAATAAAACCTTTAAGATATTGAAGTTATCTTACCCAGGGGGTAAGGTTGGGAGGGGACGAGGTAGGGGTCTACAGCTGGGACACAAAGTGAATAAGCTGTTATTAATTAAAAAATAATTAATTTTTTAAAAACTTCAAAGAAAAAGATACTGAAGTTAGAAATTGAAGAATCCATCAGAAGATGAAATGATCTCCAGGGTTAATACGTCTGTAGGAATAATACAGTGAACATGGCCATTCTACTAAAAGCGACCTAAAAAATTCCAACACAATCCTTCACAGAAATTGAAGTGGCTATTTTCTGCTATATATGGAAACACACCACACACACACAAATCCAAGCTTGCTAAAACAATCCTGATTTTAAAAGAACTTCTGGGGTCCCACCAGCCCAACTCTCAAGCTGCACTGCTCTTGTAACAGAAGCAGCATGGCATTGGCATAAGAACAGACATGCTGATCTATGGAATGGAATCGAGGAACAAGACATTAAGTCCACAAACCTAAGGACAGCTGATGTTTGACAAAGAAGCCAAAATTACACACTGGCAAAAAGAACATCTTCAAGAAATAGAATTTGCTCCCTTATCAGTGGACTTTGGGAGGGGCATGTGTGGAGAAGGGGAAAGAAGGGAGGGATGGAGGGAGGAGGGAGGGCACTACAGGGGGGATACAAAGTGAATAAAGTGTAATTAATAAAAAACTTAAAAAAAGAATTGTAGTCTTAAAAAAATAGGGTTTGTTAAACTGCAAGGGTGCAAGCAGAAGAATACAAGTAGTACCATAATTATCATGCTGCAAAATTCAACTCCAAGTGGATGAAGGACTTTAACATAAGGCAGGTATCCTGAATCTAATAGAAGTGAAAATAAGTAATCATGTTAAACTTGATAAAACAGGAAAATACTTTCTAATTAAGATGCCAGTGGCACAGGTAATAAGACCAATGGTTAATAACCAGAACCTCATGAAATTAAAAAGCTTCTGCATAACAAACAAAACAAAAAAAAAAAATAGGGTGCAAAATGGAAAAATATTTTTTTTTACCAGTTCTATATTTGAGAAACAAATAAAGAATAATGGGCATCAAGGAAACAAAAAATTCAAATTTTAAAAATAGGATAGAGAACTAAAACAGATTTCTCAAAAGATGAAACACAAATGGCTGAACAACCCTTAAACAGAGGTTCAACTCTATCTTAGTCACTGCTTAAGTCTGTGAGATGACACTAACCAAGGCATTTTTATAAATGAAAACATTTAATGGGGACCTGCCTGGCAGTTTCAGAGGCTTAAACCATTATCATCCTAGCAGGGAGCATGGTAGCAGTATTGTGTGGTGGTGGAGAAGTAGCTGGGAGCTTCATCTTCAACCCCAAGCAGAGAGAGAGCCACGGGCCATAGCATGGGCATCTGAAACCTCAAGGCCCACCCCCAGAAACTCATTTCTTCCAAGAAGGCCATGTGCACTCCAACAAGGCCACACCTCCTAATCTTTTTTTAAGTAGTATTCTTCTCTGATGACTAAGTAATCAAATATATGAAGCTACGGAGGGCATTTTTATTCAAACGACCACATTTCCCTCCCTGGCTTCCATAGGCTTGTACCATATCAAAAATGCAAAAAATACATTAGTCCAACTTCAAAAGACCCCGTAGTCTATCACAGTATCAACATTGTTTAAAAGTCTAAAGTTCAAGTTATCTTTGGAGACCCATAGCAATCTCTTAACTGGAAGGCTGCGTAAAATAAAAATAAAAAAAAAATCACATACTTCCAACATAAAATGGCACAATATATACATTACCATTCCAAGTGAGACAAAAGAGAGCCCAGTGAGAAAATACTGGACCAAAATAAGCCTGAAATCCGAAGGACAAACTTCAAATCCGGAAACCTGTGTACTAAAGATCAAGTTCTTACTCTGATGGAATACCTCAAGAAGGGTTACAGAATATAAATACATCGATATGAAATTTTACTTACATCTCATTGAGGCATATCAATATTATCCTATAAATAAAGTGAACGTGTCAACTAAGAAAGAGCAATGTGTGCAGAATATGTAAAAAGTACAGCATCAGCACCAAAAACACTTTTGCATGATTCACTATTTGAGTATTTGCTAAAGCAGGGTGTTGAGAACAGTGCAGTTGTACAGAGAATGGCCAACTGTACAGAAGTTAACTGAGATGCACATACTCTGGGTTTGCGCAGGCAAATGTCCTATTAACTACATTAATCTTTGTGCTAATTTTTATTTGCAAGTTCTTCACAATGAAGCACTTTTTTATTAAAAAGGAAAATGAAAATACACTGGGAGAAACCTTGAATAGAATTGACTAATGTGAACTTGACACATAATCTATGCTCAAAGAATAGCGCAATTATGAGGTCAGGTTTTATGCTCTTTGAAGGAAGACAACTATTGTGTGTTGTAAATTAGTCAGAAGAAGTTTCTGTGCCAAGAATGAGAAGCACAAATCCTAGGCAAGCTCAGTTATATATAGAATGAACCAGAAATTTTGAAAATTAGTCATTATCGTATTAATTAAGTTGATTCTGTCACTGAAGAGAACTGGGTGCGGTGTCGTAAACCTATAACCCCAGTACTCAAGGAGACAGAGAAAGGCAGATCTCTGTGAGTTCCACCCCAGCCCGGTCTGCAGAGCAGGTCTCGGAAAGCCAAGGCAGTCCAGAGAAACCACGTCTTGAAACACCACCCTGCCCCGAAAAACAAAAACAAAAACAAAACAAAACAAAACAAAACAAAACAAAACAAAAACTATACACTTTAAGTTAGACTGCAGGATTTCTAGACAAAAACATTGACTTATGACAAAAAAATAACAGGTGGTCCATCTTGTGGACTACTTATAACTTTATAATTAATATAGGCAAATTAATTGATTAAAAAATAGTAACAACAGAAGTAAACTTAATTTTATCGTTTTGAAATTATGAAGGAAACCACCAGGTGGCGCTCCGTGAATTGAGTCTGTGGCAGTCCACAGTAAATTGATTAAATTTTGTTAAATTAGGAAAAGTAAGGGCACTCTTTTTTTTCTGAGCAGGTTTATCTAATTTCCTTGTTTTTAATAATTGTTGAATTTTAAAAATAACAAGATGCTGTCTGTAGCAAAGACAATACAAATGATTTGACTAGCATAAGATTATTTTTTGTTTTGTTTTGTTTTTCTTTTTGTCTTTTTGAGTTAAGACGACACTGCGTAGCCCTAGCCTGCCAGGATCTAAGGATGTAGACCAGGCTGGTCTCAGGCTCTCATACATCTGCCAGCCTCTGCCTCTAGAGTGTTAAGATTCAAGGTGGGAGCCACCAGGCCCAGCTTCACTAGTTTAAGAATTTTGATAGGCTGAATTTTTAAAACATATTGTTACATTTCAAATATGTGTGAGTGTGTGAGTGTGCACATGTATACACGGGCATGTATAGGTGCATCATGAAAGCGGCTGTGCCCATGCCATGATGTATGTAGGTGCAGAAGTCAGATGGACAACTTGCAGGAGCTGGTTCTTGCCTCAGGGCAAGTGAGTCTCAGGGATCTACCTCAGGCCATCAGTTATGGGAAAGCTTCTTTAGGTGATGGATTTTAAAGTCAAGAGTATTTTAAGTAAATGTACAGTGTTGCCTTATTGTTAACATATGTGGCTATAATTGAAATTGAGAACTTATTAGGAAAAACAACCCTATTGATCCAATTGGTGCTGACTACTTTTTGCTACATATTTTCATCTCTTTGTGTTTGTTTGTGTCTTTCACTCCAGTACCTGAAACCAAAAAAGCTGAGAAGATCTCCAAAGCAGGTAAGGGCACTTGGTGTCACTTGCAAAGGAATAGGAGGTCTTTGGGGTTTGACAAAGAATGGCTGTTAAGCTGTGGGACTACCAAAACATGGAGTAAACAAAATAAACAAAAACAACAGTGGACACTCTCCATATGCCGAAAAGTTACAAGCAATGGGATTAAATGTATGTTAAAACTAAAACATGATTTTAAATATAGTCTGTGCTTCCTGGAGACCATGTTCAAGCAAGTCCATTTACACACTAGAACTGTGACCAACCAGTGTTTCCTCTCTACATACACTGCAAATAGACACTTTTCAAAACACTGAGGAATCAGTTGGGATGTCAGATTTTCTAACCAGAGCATGATAAATACTAGCAATTTGTCTATGTATACAGTTGTTGAGTCTCACACACTTACTTTCCCTGATGTTCAAACACTGTTTATTTTAAATTAGTGGTGACAAATAGCTCAAACTGAAGATTTGGTCATTTTCTTTTTCAGTCATTAGATATGTACCCTCCGAGAGGTGATTCTTTCTCTTGGAAATTTAAATTAAAATTTCTATTATTTGTATTTATTTTTATAATTATCTATCTATCGTCTGTTTATGGCGTGCATTGAGTGGAGTGTTGGCATACCTGTGGGCATCAGGGGACGTGAGGAACACAGTTCTCATACATTGGCACTAGGCGAGGGGAATCAAAATTTAAGTCTGTGTGGAAAACACTGTTGTCCTCTGTCTCTCCTGTCCACTGGTATTTTTAAAGTAGACTTCCTAAAAACAGGGTTTTGTAAGAGACGGAATCAAGATGAGCTGAGTACTTAGAGCAAATGATGGAGGTTAAAGAAGAAACCTTGAACAGGTGAAGCAGAAAATCCATAAATCCAGTGGAAAATTCTAGTTAATGGCAATCTTTCTACTGCCAACCCTATCTGAGATACTTCTACTTTCCCTATGTAGAAATTATTGTGTACAGACCCAAACAATATGTGGTTATGTCTATATTCCAATCTCTCTGTGCAGTGAAAATAGCTCTACAGAAGGGCAAACATTCATAAACTTGGTTTAAGAATATTAGCATATTTTCATTTGCACAAATTTAACATATATTTAAGTAATAGTCATAAATAATACTTTTTCTCCATCACATGTTTAATTTAACACAAATGATCACTGAAACTTTTCATAAAAATAATACCATAGCATGAAAAGAAATGTAGTGATTTTCTCATTTTTAACACTTGGTTTCAGGAAGACTGCATAAAAAAACGGTAAAGGCTGCGGAGACAGGGTTCGTTTGTACTCAGTAGGAAAGTTTTCAGTCTTAGACTGTAGGAAAATGGATAGTACGGTGACCAGGATCTGCTTCTCTTCCATGTTGATATCAAAAATTATCACTAAACTTCAGATATGAATACATAAAAAAATGTGCTGTGTTGTTAACAATCCCACTGCTTAGTCAGTGAGAGTATTCGAATACATACAAGCTACATTATATCATCATATCATGGAAGCATACTACTGCATTTCACCCTGTATTTTGATGCTGGTATCTAAAACAAAAGGTAATATTCATGCTATCAATTATCTACTATCACATCTTGTTAAATATTTACTTCTGCTTTAGGAGATATTTGTTTTTTTAACTTTTCAAAGAAAGATAGCATATTAAAAATAGAAGAAATAGGCTTTTAAAACAATTAACTGTATGAACTTTAGATTATTTTGAAATAGCTACATATAAATGATAGGAGAAAATTTAAATGTTTTATAGTGATTTTTTAAATTCTAATTGGTATATAATGAATCTTGACTGCCATTCAGTTCCCATTAGTCTCTTCTCTCTTTTCTTCTCCTATCTCATTGTACTTTTCACGCAATATAAGAGGAAACATTCAATATCTGTCTTCCTAGATCTGACTTATATTATGAAAAGTATCTTAGCATTTAAAACCTTACTAATTATAAGAAAGAGTATTTTAATTTAAATTTACACAATATTTCTGTTGGTAATATGTATTTTTACACATTTTTACAAAAATAAAAAATTTGCAAAATTAGATAAATAAAAATAAATAAGCATGAAAAGCATTTTAATTAAATGTAACCAATAAGCAAATGATTGAGAACATATAGCATGCTATTCTCACTGCCACGTGTCTGCAATTTGTTGACGATATGAAATTTACAAATATGTGATAAGATGGTATTTTATTTACAAAAGCGTACAATTAGAGCTATATTCATGAACTATTTCCACCTGATTACAATACTAGTGAAGAGTGTTCTAGGATGCTAGATGGTGAAGGCATTCCTAGAGTGTGGAATGATCAGTGGAATCCTCACGGTGATGATATAAACTATAAACTTTGGAATACGTAAGAGCTTCTGAGATAGGAAGTTGATTATGACAATGGTGACAGTGTTGACTTTGTGCTGGAAAGATGCTGAACTTGATTCTCTTTGCCACTTGTTAAAGGTATGAATTAACTGGCTTACTGCTTCTGAACTCCAGCTTCCTTATCTTATGCATGGCAGTCACCATACTCACCTACCAAGAGTGTTACATGCAAAAGACATGTTGTTTTGCCGTATAAGTCAGCTTCTATATGTGGTAGCTGTATTTGTAAGGGAGTTTAGAATCCACACTGAGGCTCATATTAATGGGAAGCAGGAGAAGAGACTCAAACATTCCAAGAGACCCCATGAGGTAATAAGATGAGTGGAAGAGGAAAAGAGTGCAGCAATTGGATGAAGCCCATTAATAAAAGGGCTTCTTGAAACCCAGGCCTTGTGCCTGGGAAAAATAAAATTGAGAACCTTGAGGACCAGAGTGAGGAAGAAGAGTATTGTCAGTCATAAGGGCATATGGAGTAACATCTTGTAGAAAAAAATTATTTGTGATTTAAAGCCAAATTTTTTATTATAACCTCAGTATTATAAAAGAAATGTAACCACATTATAGAGGCAATATAGACAAGAAATGATGATCTTATAATATCTGTGATTAGTTAATTATTCAATTTCAAAATTAATTATACCCATGACTCATGTTCAGCATCTAAAGATTCTTTAAGAATCATTCAGCCAGATGGGTGTGTTGCAGGCCTATAATCCCAGAACTCAGGGAGGAAGAGGCAGCCAGATCACTGTGAGTTCAAGGTCAGCCTGGTCTACAAAGTAAATCCAGGATAGCCAAGGCTACACAGCGAAACCCTGTCTGGAAAAAAACAAAATACAACAAAATAAAAGCATTCATCCTTAGAGCACATTGCAAACATCTATTGACAATTGTCATGAGTTCCTCTAGGGATATGAAGAATGGGAACAAAATATGAATGGGCATGTGGAGAGAGCGGCAACATTCTCCCTGTACTGGGCTGTAGCACCTGTCATTGTCAAGACGTTTCCTGGTCAGAGAACAGATGCAGATGATTGTAGCGCTGTTATAACTTCCAGGTCTCAAGCATAAGAGGCTGCAGTAGGGGTACTTACACAAGCTGCAAACATGCCGTGGACAGAATGTGGGGCATTCACACAGAGGCGGTCCACAGGCCTTGGAAGATGAGACATGATGGCTTTGAATCCTCAGACTGTAACCATGTATTAAGAGTCTTGGAAGAGTCAGAAGACAAGAGAAAATGAGTTCAATAAGACCGAGGACATAGAGAGAAAAGATGGGAACCTTGACAGTACCACTTCCTGGGAAAGTAAACAATCCAGAAGCAAAGCAGGAAATGCCTTAGCAGGAAACCAGGCAGTAAAGAGTGCCAGGGTCCCAATGTGCAGTAGAGACCTTTCAAGGAAAAGTCAAAATGCCAACAGTTAGAACCATTGTCTCTTTCAGAAAGGTGAAGAGGCATGATGACAGGGGGGAAAAGGGCCATTATACTTGAGAAATAAAGCTGTCATCCTATGACCTTTGAGAAGATTCGTTCAGAGGAGCAGTGGGAGCAGAAATCTGACTACAGGAGTTAACAGGGCAGCTCCTCCATTGTAACTGAACGAAGAACACGGGCAGCTTTGTTTCTTAAGTATAACTCAGGGAAAACAGTAAGATTCCCACACAGGGAAGCTTTGAACTATTTTCATTTCCATGTTTTTGCAAGGTGGAGAAATTCTAGGAAGAGGGGCAGCAATGATGCTGCAGAGAAAAATATTCATTAGAGGTGGTGTCCCAGCTCTACAAACTATTGGGTTCTATACTGAAAGCGAAGGGAATTGTTTTAATTAAGGGGAAGGAAAATTTCCCTTGAGCAAAGAAAACTTAATGAAAGATGAGATTAATCAGGAAGAGTGTGTGTGAGGATCACTTTGCTTAGTTGCTCTTTCCTCCGAACATGTTAATGGCAAAATATAGGATAAAGTTCTTTCTCAACATGTAGACAACACCTATTTAGAAAATCAGGCAGTGTTTACCAAACTTCATCATTAATCAAACCTGCATTTCTTTGGAGAAAAAATGAGCTATTTATGCGATAATAATTGGAAGTACACAATGATACAAGATGACATTAATGCTAGAGGAATAGCAGATATTAATATACTTTTAAATATCATATGCAGATAGTTAAAACGAGTAGAATATGTATTTTATTAGGAAATTTATGAATAGTTAATTATATTCAGGAGAAATCTATAGTAACTAAAATAATAAATGGTTTAAAAGAAACTTTACATGCTGCATCTTAGGATGATCCCTCAGGATTGGACATTTGCTGATTATAAAGGACATGGGAAAATGTTAGTAATACACATGTTCAGTTGTAGGAGATAAGTTTTGGGATCAAAAGTACAAAGCAATAATTTCTATGAATATATCTTGGTACTCCCCAAATCAACGCGCTGAAAGATAAATTACCTGTGTGACAAATCAGGAGGTAGGATCTTTACAGGTGTCTGAGGGGTCTTGGAGATTTACCTTGCCCCTTCTCTCTCCTGAAAATACAGCACAGCAGGTTTGTTTATGAACCAGAAAGCCATCACCAGGTATTTGTTGTACATGTCAATGAG